CTACAGGAGTATTTTGGCAAGAAGGTCCATTATTATGGATACATTTATCTTATTCTCCTAACACTATTCTTACTAGGTATCCTGAGGCTGTAGGACAATTAATACTCAAAGGAATAAAAGCAGCAAAGGGAGTGTTTGGAATTTCTCCCAATAAAATTATTACTCCATATACTATGAATCAAATTGATGAGTTAGCTAATGAGTTAAATACTTGGGCAATAATCATGTGCAAATCTAATGTTTCATTTGATAACCACTTACCATCTAATCCTTTATTGTCTTTTTGGTCATTGCATCCTGTAATTTTTCCAAAAATGACAAGAAAAACACCTTATCATGAATGCTCCAAATATATTCACTGATGGGTCAAATAATGGTACAGCAGAAATAGTTACACCTGATCAAACTTTTACACTTTTAGTACCCAAACAATCAGCTCAAAAGGTAGAGCTTAATGCAGTATTACAAGCTTTTGTGATGTTTAAAGATTCTGTATATAATTTATTTTCCGATAGTCAGTATATAGTTAACGCTATAGTATCCCTTGAAGATGCTGGTAGGATTTCCCCTTCTTCTACTGTTTTCTCTTTGCTTTCCACTATACAAAGTCTAATCTGGGACAGAAAAGATCCATTCTTTATAGGACATATCAGGGCACATACAGGATTGCCTGGAGCCCTTAGTTTGGGCAATGATTTAGCAGATAAAACTACACATGACATATATATTTTCTCTACACTAGAAGAAGCTATAAATTTTCATAAAAGGTTCCATGTCAATGCTAATACTTTACAAAAGCATTTTAAAATAACTAAGGAACAAGCTAGACAAATAATAAAACAATGTCAAAATTGTGTGACCTTTTTACCACAAGTTAATCTTGGAGTCAATCCTAGAGGATTGATACCTAACCATATTTGGCAGATGGACGTCACACACTTGCCAGAATTTGGAAAATTAAAATATTTGCATGTTACAGTTGATACTTCTTCTGGATTTTTGATGGGCTCCCTTCATGCCGGAGAAAAAACTAAAGATGTTATAGCTCATTGCTTACAAAATTTTGCCACTGTGGGTGTTCCAAAACAGTTAAAAACAGATAATGCCCCTGGTTATACTTCTACCTCTTTTAAACAATTTTGCTCAACATTTGGCATTACTCATATAACAGGAATCCCATACAATCCACAGGGACAAGGCATAGTTGAAAGAGCTCATCAAACTATTAAAATGTACTTATTAAAGCAAAAAGAAGGAATTGGGAAGGGGTATATATTCCCCAAAGATAAACTTAAAATAACCCTTTTTACTCTAAACTTTTTTAAATTTGGATTCATCAGGACTTAGTGCTGCGGAAAGGCATATGTGTCCAAAAAATGTGCATAAGCCCAAGGTACTTTGGAAGGATATTCTAACAGGACAATGGAAAGGTCCTGACCCAGTAATTGTCTGGAGTCGGGGGTCTGTTTGTGTGTTTCCACAGGGAGAACAGCAGCCGATTTGGATTCCAGAGAGATTAACTAAAGTGATTTCTACAGACCAAAAAGAAGATGATTTGACTCAAGTCCATAACAGCTGATATCCAAAACTCCAGTTTGGCTATCCTTACATCTGCGATAGAACCAGGATGCTTTTTTCAATATCAATTTTATTATTGCCCTTTCCCACATTCTATTTTGTTTTTTGAGCTCATACAGACCTAGGTTAATGTTTTGCTGATCAGTTCTATTTTTTGACTATAGAGTTTTTAAACATTGCAATGGAGATTTCACCTGTAAAAAGTTATAAGGCCTTTACTATTAGGTTATGTGTTGTATGTATTATATGTGTGCACACTTGTGTTTTGTGTTATATGTTTGAATGTACGTATGTCCATATATCATATATGATGAGTGCTCATGAAAAAATGGATCCAAATATTTTTTTTTTATTCATGTGATTTAAATGGTTTAATTTAAATTGGGTAAACAACTGTTGAGGATTGTTTTAATATGTGAACAAAAAACGAGGTTAACAGATCTGTTTGTTTACTTTCACCTTTCCTTTTCATTATATTTAATAATTCTCTTAAAGACAATGTAAATTGTTAAGAAAATTGTTTTCTTTTAGTGCCTTCTGTAATGTTACATAATTTTTTCTTTAGCCATTATTGCCAGAATTCCTATCTTCATCCCAGTGCCGGTGAAGACAATGTAAATTGTTAAGAAAATTGTTTTCTTTTAGTGCCTTCTGTAATGTTACATAATTTTTTCTTTAGCCATTATTGCCAGAATTCCTATCTTCATCCCAGTGCTGGTGAAGTCAAAGATAAAACCAATCTACAGCTTCTACAATAGCCATCACTGAACTGCTTGCAGAACTTGCCTGGACACATTGTGAGCTCACCTGTATGCATTGTGAACTATCTGTTGGTGCAGCGACTTGTGGTAGTGTTGGGGTATTTTTGCTGATGATGTCATCGGTGGTACAATTTTTCCAAAAGGAGCCGTCAATTGGCTTGGTGTATCTTCCTCCCTTCTGCTTGTCATGATTGTCCAGCTAAAATTTGGGGGCCAACAGAGGTGAGGCAAAGAACCTCACCCCCCCCGCTGGTACAAAGACCTCTCCACAGGTGTGGCTGTATACTGGACCAGTAGTCAGTGACAGGTAAGATCCAATTGCAATGGTACCAACCTAACGGGTAAGGACCATATGTACTATGGGACAACCTAAGGCAGGCACGGTCCCTAAGCCACATGCTTTTTGTTTAAACAGAGAGGGGGAGATGTTAAGAGCCACAGCCGAAGGGGCCCCAGCAAACTTCCAGCTGCCAGCAAACTTCCAGCTGCCGGCTGATGATTGGCTCACAGCGGCCCCAGCAACATCTAGCTGATTGGCTCCTCTGCGGTGATGCTCATTGGGCTGTTTCCCTGCCCTTTCAGACCACGGAGCTGCTCATTGGGGGACTTTTTTGGCTCCTCCCATGTGACCCAGCCAATTGGCCTCAAGAGCAGGAGGATTGTGGGAGTTGGAGAGAGGCTTGTAGGAGAGAGGGGCTTGTGTTGTTGGAGAGAGAGGCTTGTGGAAAGCCGTGGTGGCAGTTGGGGCTCTGAGGGTTTTTCCTGAGAGGCTGTATTGTTTGGCGTGTGTGGTTCTAAAAATAAAGTTAGTTTCTTTTGACAAGTGGCTCCTGATTGTGCCCAGCCAGACTGCGGCAAAACTTTAGCTTCCTTGTAATTAAACCATTCTCCTTTGCAAACTTCTCGGTTTTATAAACGGGCAAACCATGTTGTGTAGCCTCGGTTTCTTTTTCCTCATTGGTTTGTAGGAGAACTTGATTACATTTGGGACAGCCACGAGGAACACAGGTCAGGCTGTGGTCAGGGTAGGGATGACACTAGGGAGGGTGAGAGCTGTGTCAGTGGTGGTTCTGCCTTGGGATGCAGTCAGAGCCTCCAGGCTGCTGGGTCCCCAGGGAGTTCATGGTCAGGACTGTAGAGGGGGTGGGAGGGTGGGAGGAAGGCCATGTTCTCTCATCAGGCCACCTACACAGGAAGACCATGGCCATGCTGGGGATCAGTCCAACCACTCTGTCCATCATCATTCAGGAGATGAGAAAGAAGCTAAGAAAAAAGACAAAACAAATGTTTCCAGGCATATTGCTAGAAACCTGGTTAATGGCACAGGGGACTGAAGGCTGAAAAGCAACTCTCCTTCCAAAGGAGACAGGAGGGCCCAAAGTTCTCAAGAGGCATGTTATAAAAAAATCATGCCCCTGTCTGTGATGGCCATGGCTGCCACAAATGCCTCATAGTCACTCGGAGCCTTTTGCTTCCATAGCAGGTCCTCCCCAGATGACTCCACTCCTTGCCTGGAGTGCAAGGAGTCCCTCCCCTAACCATGCTTAGGCAGAAATACTGAGGATATCTTCAAGGACACTGCATGCTTGAGCCCATCTTTTTAATTCAAATAAATTTGTTTCCCCATCTCCTTTTGCCAACAGTGACTGTGCATCCCTTCATGATCTGTACCTCTTCCCATTCTGCTGCAGCATGAGTCCTAATGAAGGCTCTTAGGGATGGGTAGAGTTCGTATATTCAGACTCTCATCTCAACTGGAGCAGGTCAAGTTGGTTGCACTGAAAACTGGCAAACTGGGTAGGTCAACCTTAGGGTGGCCAGCACAGAGAGTGACCCAGAGCAGTGGTGAGCTACAGGAGCTGCTAGGTCTGTCAGATGAGTTCCAGGGCACTATTGGAAGTGGCTGGCTACTGCCCCCAGGAGAGCAACAGGAGAACTGCTGCCACTAGGAACTGGGGGTTGCTGACATTCAATGCCAGGTACTAACACTACGGTCTGAGAGCCCCATGTCAGTCCTCAGATCCCAGAGCTCCAACACCAAGGAAGATGTGCTTTGCCTCTTTGTGATTCCTCTTCATGTCTGGCCCTCAGATAATTGATAAGAGAGATGTTTAAGAGGCACAGATCATGAAGGGATGCCCAAAGAAGATTCCCTCAACCAAGAGAGGCCTTTTCAATGGTGTGATGATTAGGGTTTTCTCCTAGGATCAGAGGAAGAAACAGTCTAAATCTGCAAACAAGACCCAATAGATGGATGCTTGTGCTTCCTTCGTCCTGGCAACCCCAGTTGTCTCCTCTCAGTTCTCACTGCATGGACATGCACAGAAAATATGGCAGAGTCAGCAGCCACAGAAGATGTTTCCTACCAAACTGCCTTTATTATAACTGACAGTCCAACAGGGTACAGCTTCCCACCAAGGCTTGAACATCGTGACCCTCCCCTCTCAGTACCCTCCCTTCTGCCCCACACCTGCCCTCTTTCTACATTCCCTGTACCCTCCCACCCCCTTCACTTTCCTGAGAACCTGCAGGAACTGCCCTGTGTGGGGAAGAGGTCTTCACAAGCTGAAGACCTTTGGCCCTTCTGGTGTAGAATGAAGCAAAGGTGATTCTTGCCTGAGGGGCAGTCACCCCAGAGGCCACCGGCCAACACTTCTGTCCTCAGGGCCTCTTCTTCTGGTTGCCAGATGACACACACTTTCTCTTCTGAGGCTGTGAGGTTCCACCTAGCTCCAGGTCCACACCTTGCCCTCCGATGACCTGGAGGGGAGGCCCCGTGCAGGGCATCTTTTCCGCATTGCATGAGCGTCCAGTGAGAACACTCTTCATGGTCATGGCACCTGGAGGAGGGTGGGAGCTGAGGCGCCCCCTCTGGGGAGGTGCGGCCTGGAGTGGTTGGTCTCCTGAGCACAGGGTTTCTATTTGAGGGGCCTGGCTCTGGGACAGTCCCCAGGGCAGCAGGCGGTTCTGGGAGTTAAGGAGGAAATCCAGGCTTTGGAGGTCATCGTCCACACTGCAGCCATTGGCTGTCTTATGTGGCCGCCCAGAAGAAGTGGCTTTTCTGGGTCCCACTACGCCTTTGTTCCCCAGGTTTAAGGAGGAGGATCTGCAGTTATGGGGAGGATGGTTGGAGTGCATGTTCCCCAACGAGGATGACCAGTGACGGCCTTGGAGGACAGCAGAGTCCTTCGATCCCAGCAACTCTGGCTCCATGGCCCTGCGCCTCTTCATGACCTGGGAAGCCACCTCTGTGGACGAGTCCTCCATGCTGGCCCCTTGATCAGTGTGATGTTTCCGTTTCTCTGCACCTTGGTTGGCAGGTGCCTGGGAAGCTCTTGAGTCCTGTTGGGACATACCATGACCTTGAGGCCCCTGAAGAGCTGCTTCTTCACAAGCTGAAGGAGAATATGGGCACTGGCCAACTCTTCTACATGCATGAAATGGGCCACAGGGACTGGGACAATCATTTCTATGGGAGGTGGGAAGTGGAGAGACAGACTGAGTCTCTGCTGGCCACCCTCCTGGGCTTCCTTTATTCTTGATGCCCTGAACCCATCCATGACTCTCCTGTCTCCTTCCTTTCCCTTCTACATCCTATGTCCTGTGAAGTCACTCAAGGAAACATGTATCATAGGCAGGATAGAGACAGATGACGTCCTGTGGGCCACATGACTAGGGTCCTGTGCCTTCCTCATCTACGTGCTATCCCTTGATCCTCTGTCCACCTGTGGCCACTCCCTTTCTTGTCTATTTGTGTCCCTTTGTCTCCTAGCCGGCCAGTATTGCTCTCTGCCTTATCCACTTGGTGTCTTTCTCCAAGTCCCATAACCCTGGTTTGTCTACCTCCATAGTTCTATGTGGTGCCCCTTTCTCTTCTCTATCTTTTCTTTCTCCCCAACCCATGATGTACCTGCCATTGTCTGTGAGGAGTATAACCAGTGTACCTTCTACCTGGTTTACTGGGGGACCCTCCTTCCCTGTCTACCTGGTCAGGCGTGAGTCCTTCCTCCTGGTCCAGCTCTTTTGTTAGGGCCAAGATATTTATGGATGGTTCAGAGGAAAGTATTTCTTCCAGGAAGCGGGGGTGAATTATGCTCTCTGCCTGGGATGAGAAGGAAGAGAGTGTGAGTGACCTTGGGAGTAAATAGCCCCAAGTCAGGAAGACTTCTAGTAGAAACCAGAAGCAATGAGGATCCCATTCTCGTTCCACCATGGGGATATTATAGCCCAACAACCTGCTACAAACATTTACAAGAGTGTGCGTGTGTGTGTGTGTGTGCATGCACACACACACACACACACACACACACAAATTCTGCTGAGCATCTGTGCTAGAAGCTCAGTTCCATGAGTTTTGCAACCTTGACTACACCAAGATGGTAGGCGTGGCCCACCTTGTTGACAAAGTCCTCATCAACGTAGCTCAGGAGACTTGGATCTGGGTATAAATCCTCTATTGGCTGATGCTCCAGTCCTTCCTCTCCCAAGATCTCAGCAAGCTCTTCTGTGGACAAGTGGGAGGGCTCCCATGTGGCCAAGCTGGTAGGCCCACATAGCTCATCCATGATGTCCATGTACTCTTGGATGGCTTCAGGTGGGATCTCCTCGGGCGCCTTGGTCTCAGGCCCGTTGGTCTTGGCCACCTTGCTCTTGCGTGCCTTGGTCTTGCGTGCCTTGGTCTCAGGCACCTTGGTCTCTGGTGCCTTCGGTTTGGCTGCTAATGAGCAGGCAGGCTGTAATTTGGGGCTGGTCTTTCTGCACCCTAGGACAGGGAGGACCAGAGTGGTGCATGAATGAGGGATCCATGTGCATCCCAAACACTGGGTAGTAGGCAGGGTTCAGCGGACCTAACTGGCATGCCATGCATGAGGCAACCTGACCAGGACCTGAGGGATAAAACAGTGCACCAGATGCACCATCTAGGAGAGTCTAGTGGGAGCACATTTAGAGTGACTGATATTCCATGTGCTCTACCCTCCAAGACCCAAGTCCTGGGCAGATGATATGTGTGTTCTCTGGACCGGCAAAAAGAGAAAGGAGCTGTGTACTTGTGCTGGTGAATACGCAGTTCAGGGCTGGGTGGCAGGGACCTCAGGGGCTAGGGGCTGTTCTGCTTACAAGACCAAATCCCCCACACTGAGGGAAAAGGTCTTATTTGAGACAACAACTTGCCTTAGCCCTTGTCACCATTCGGAGACTATCGTGGGCTCCTGTGGGAAAGAGGGAACCCTACCTGGCCGTTGGAAAGCCTCAAGGACTGGCGGCTTTGAAAGTTGCAGCATTGGAGGTACAGGAGGAGGTCGGCACTGGAAGACCCCTGACAACTGCATCCTTGGATCCTCCATCTCCTCCGCAGCCTCAAACTCCATGAACCTTGGTGGGTAAGGGAGGCACAGGCTGAGCTGAGAAGCAGGTCAGCCATACCAGGCAGGTGCTAGCCCCATACCAGGGAGGAGCTGGGGGCAGAGATATGGAGCTGTGTCCTGGAGTGGTTCAGGCCAGTCCCAGGAGGGAGCTGCTACATAGGAAGAGTGGCAGTTCTGAGGGAACACCACATCAGCCAGCACCTGAAGGGAATCAGCTGTGTGACGCGGCATAGCCCTAGGTGACCCTTGTTTCCCCTGTCCCTGCCAGGAACCACATGGATCAGGCAAGTTCCAGAAACTGGTCAGGGAAGTGATGTATATGAGGGTCCTGGCCCAATTAAGGGATGCTGAGGCTGGGACCTTGAGCCTTGAAGGATCACCTGGGAAAGAAAGGCATAGGAGGGGTCATGTGGAGGTGGAAGCTGAACTGAGAACATTGGGTTGCTTCCCCGGAGGGCCGGTTCTTTTTCTTCCTTTCTCTTGTTGGAATGCCAGGGATTTCATAGAGCAAAGGCAGTAAAGATGGCAGACCTGTCCTAGGGCATCTGAGGTTCTGGATGCCCCTGACCCTGCACTCTTCACTGCCACCCTCTTCTGGTACATTGGGTTAAAGGGGTGACCACTTTCATGAGATCCAGTAGTCCCCACTCTGTAAAGAGGTGCCAGTTCCCGGGCAGGTGGTGTGTGTGAGGCTAGTGGAACTCTTTACCTCTGCCCAGACAGCAAAGGAGAAGGAGTCAGTGTGGCTGGACTGGTTTTTCCTCCCCATTGGGACCCTGAACCTCAAGGCACAGTTGGAATCACGAACATTGAGGCTGGAGATTCTGGGATTGTTGCAGAGAGAATGTCCAGCGCTTCAGCTAGAAGGAGCTGCAATTTGGAGAGCTAGACGCCTCAGAGCCAACACATAGGTAGGTGACATGCCCTACCCGACCCTGCTGTGCAAACCCTGAATTCCCACCACTAAGTTCTGGGCCCTGGAATCTAGCTCACTTTTGTGAGGTCTCATAGAAGACCATCCGGTCAAAGTTGCTGGTGCGCTGCCATTCCTGCAAACCCTTCCGCAGGCCCTCTTCCATGGTCATGGTGGGCTCCCGTCGGGACAGAGACCGAAGCACTGGGCTGGAATTCATCAGGATCAGTGTCCACAAGGTCACCCTCCTTCATCAGCAGACCAACATACCTTCCTAACTTTGTTACATTTGACCCATCATGTTCACCTCAAAGTATTGACATTGGGACTCCAGGACCCTTATACCAAACCTGAACACCAAGGGCTGCATTGAGCAGCATGATTGTGCTTGGATTCCTCAATGATGTGGTGTACTAGGTGCTGAATGTTTTTATCCTCCCGCATTCACCTGTTGAAGCCCTAACCCCCAGTGTGATGGTATCTGGAGACTGGCTTTAGTGCTTAGAGGGTTAGATGAGACCCTGAGGGTGGTGCTTCATGGGGGCATTAGTGGTCTTCCTGGAGAAGGAGGAGACACTGAAGAGATGTCAGTCATGTGAGGACGCAGGTGAGCCAGCTGTCTTCCCAGCAAGGAGAAGAGAGCGTTCATGGGACTTTAGGTCAGGTACCCTTTACCTGGGAATCCTGATTCCAGAACTGTGAGAAAGGAATACCTGCCTGTGTTTGTGTCCACGTGTTCCATAGTGTCCTGTATGGTGGCCCAGGCTGACTAAGACAGTGCACAGAATGGCCTGGGAGCACAGTTACAAACTGGGGCAAAGATGAACATGCCCATGCAGTATCCAAAGACAGCTTCCCCATGAGTGTGACATCACCAGAGGGTCCCAATCAGGAGTTCATGACAATGTGTGTGGGTATCCTTAGAGTTCTGTCTTGGGGCCAGCACCCCTAACCCCACTTGTGGTTGTGATGTCCTCTGTGCCAGGAACAATCAGCTCTATGGTGGAAGGTGAAATGACTGGGGGAGGGACCATTATGTGGAGTCAGACAGCCCACTCCAGTTCCTGGCCCACATTACCCCCAGGAACCTCCTCTGACCTTGAGTCCTCCATATGATGGAGATGATCATTGGAAACAAAGATTGCCTGCACTCACAGGGCTGTGATGGGCACCTGACATAAGGCACGTTTCATTCCCTGGTGTGAGGGGATACATCTGGGAATGTAAGGCTCTCAGCTTGTCCCCTCACCCTCAGGACCTTTCTTCCAGTTCCCCTACATCCCAGCCCCCTCTTTCCAACCCATGCTTTTCCTCCTCACAGAGCTCAAGGAGGAGCCTGAGGAGAACACTCACACAAGGAAGCAGGAAAGTGCTTCCACATCAGGAGTCTGAGGAAGGTGCCTGCGGACCAGGGTCTTGAAGCGCTGCCAGCGTCTGAAGTCCTCATAGACGCTGGGAGGTCCGCCGGAGTCATCTGGTGGCACCGCAGATGGGAAGATGGGTGGTGCACCTGCCCCATACCCTGTACCTGGCCACTGGCGTGCATCCATTGGGAACATGATGGGGGCCAGCTGGGCAAATGGCTGTGGTGCTGGAGGGCGAAGGCCCAGGTGCCAGTGGATCCCATAGTTCTGGATCCCCCCACTGGCTGAGGCAGGCACAGTGGTCCTCGGGGCAGAAGGTGCCGTGAGGAATGGAGCAGGATGCTCCACACCCCCACAGAAGGCCCCTGGGGCCCTGAAGTTGAGGGGTGCCTGAGTGTGGGCAATGTTCTGAATATGAGGAGGCCCTGCTGGCCTCAGTTGTGGCCCATGTTGTCCAAAGGTGGACAGCCCTGGCACATATGGTTGTCCAGGGTAAGTGGACAGCACCAGAGGGTTACTCTGGGAGATGGGTGCAGTCACCCGTGGTGCCAAGGGAAGCTCCCAGAATGGCTGGTGTGTTGGCACAGGGGCAGCTGGAAGAAAGGGCAGGCCCCGGAACGCAGACATGTGGGCACCAGGATTGACATTCATGTCTGGTCTCTGGGATGCAGATGCTGTGGAGGCAAAGCAAAGGGAAGAATGGAGGAGGGGAAATGGCAGCAGGATTGAGGTCCCCCAGTTTCTTACTTAGTGGGAATCTGAGGACAAATGCTCACAGCTCAGGGCCCTGTGGGCAGGCAAATTGTGCAGTTTGCAAATGTTCCTGAGTGAATTTCATGTTGTGTTCCCTTTGTCATAGTTCTACCCAAAGAAAACTGTTTCCCAGGACACCAGGACTCCCTGAAGGCTGTCAGTGGACTGTGGTCCCTCAGCTTTCCCTGCCTCTGAGAGGGCCCTTGTGCATCCTTTGCAGACAATCATTAGCCTCCTAAGTGACTCCCTAGAAATGGATCAATTTGACTCTCTCAGTGGCACCATGCCCCTCCTCATGCTCACCAACAGGAAAGGGATCTTCTCGAGGGCAGATGCAGGTACTCCAGGGTTATTTGTGAAGGTGACAGGCTCTAAAGTTTATTGCCCCATCACCTCCTCAGCCTTCCTTTTGCTAATACTCCTTGTATACCCCTCCACTTCTTTCCTAGGTCTCCACAAACAAACAAAAAACACCTGATTTAGATCTCTGCCTAGCTAGAGGCTGAGGAATCCTGAAGTTCACCCTGCCCAGCATGTGGGTGCTTCTCCTAGCACTTCCCACAGTAAACACTAATGGGGGAACAGAGTCTGGTCAGCCATGTCCCCAGTGTTCATTGGTCCCTGCCATGACATAGGAAGCTCTGTTCCCAGGGAAGAGGTCTTTGTGATAGACACTGAGTTCCCGAGATCCTCTCCTGCCCTGACCAGCAATGGCTGCTGAGGTTCATGGAAGGTGATGGGATTGTGAGCAGTGGGGCTTTCAAGAGATTTTCACAGCCACTGGTCATGTTATTACTGGGCCTGGGAATTGGGGCCATTCTGAGGTCCTTTTCCTTTTAGCTCCCAATCACAGAATGATGGTGTCACAGAGAACCAGGTCTGCACCAGCTGCCAGGTGTGGCCGGGTTGTCTGGAGCACATCTCTGTTCACTAGTGTAGTCAAGGAATGTGAGGTCCACCACACTTCCACACTTGCACATGTTGATCAGGACCCCTGCCTAACTTCAGGTGACAATATGAGTAGGGCCCCTTCCTAACTGGGTGCTATTCTCTTTCCTCTCTTGAAAAGAACCCAGTCATCTTCAAACCTGATCCTTGAAAAAAGGACACCTCACATGTGTTCATGGAGTACCAAACAAGGAAGATGAGAGAAGTCTTCCTGCCAACATGAAATAAAGGACTGAGGCTACCCCACAGAGAGGGGCCAACACCGAGAAGCTCTGAAAGAACTCCTCTTTCCATGAAAGTGATAACAATTCAGAAGACCTCACAGGGGCCCAAATCTATGTTGGTTGAAGTTTTCTGGGTTCCCTGACCTTTAGGAATCAAGAACACCAACTGTCTGAATGGAAGGAGAAGTTGGCGAGGCAACTTCTGGGCAGGAAGTTGGCGAGGTGCCCTGGGCTGTGGCAGTTGGAGTGCCCTGCAGCCTCACCCACAGAGTATATCACACTGCATTTGTGGTCATTGAGAACCCCACTGGGCAGTTTTCTAACTAATAACACTTCTCAACACTGCCCAGTTATCATCTGAGACTCTCAGTCAATCCCCTCAGAATGACATCCCAGGCAGCTTCCCTGTGTCTGAAGAATGGACACAGGGTTCAGCATCTGGACTCCAGGGAGCCGTAACTGACCACCACTGTGACACCATCTGTGACTGCCTAAAAAATCATGCCGTGATCTGTGTCCATTTTATAAGGAATCAATCCCTTGGCCTCTCTTCTTTCTGTTGAACCAGTATAATTCCCCTGAGTAGCCTGGACCTGGTCTTAGGAGCCCTCCTTCCCATTAGCAGTATCAGTCTTCCTGGGGCTTCCTGGGCCATGTCAAGTGCATTCTCTAAGGCTCTTTCCTTCCCTTACTTCTGCTCAGTGAGTTGCCCACAGGGGAAGTACTCCATTCTAACTCCCAAGGGTTTTGGGGGTGACTGGCCCTCAGATAACAAGCCCCTGACCCTCCAGGCTCACCTCCTTCCAAAGTTCAGGATACTGGTCACAGTGTCTCACAGTCTCCACAGTGGGAAACGTCAGTAGAGGACCCAGAGAGTGACCTGTCTGTAACAGATGCTCAGGGCCCAACTGAGCCAAGCTGGGACAAGTTTAAATGTAAACCCCAGTGGAATGTTGGACCCAGACATTCTGCAGGGGGGAGGGGCCAAGGGGAGCTGGCCTGGGTGGGGGCTGGGCAGACATTCCATGAAGAGCTCTGTCAGGTATAGAAGAACCTTGAGTTCCCTTCAGGCAATTCAGTGGTGACACAAGTGGTGTGTGCCTCTGGGTCATTTTGAAGTATTTTCTCAAATGTATGGCAGAGTGGTGAGAGCCATGGCTCTCATGAGCCACACAGTCACGGGTCTGAACAGCCCATACTCTAAACTGGAGGGTATGGATTGCATTTTATGTATAAATTGGTTTTTTTCATCCCATCCCCTGTCAGCAAAACAGACTCTTGGGTGTTCCTGAAATATTCCACACCTTATTATAAGTCCTTTCAATGAATGGGGGAGGGGGCAAACTAAGAAGAAGCTTCTTTCACTCTTTATGTAGTTATTCCCCACATTGATGTCAGTGATGAAATAGCTGGTGGGGCTTTATTTTTTTTAAACTAGTGATATAAAATATGCAGTGTAGAAAAACTGTCTTTCCATTCCACAATCAGTTTGTTTTTAGTAGTTTCTTATACTGAATGATGGAGTTCAGATTCTCAAAGCAAGCTTTATTTGTAGACCCAGGTCGAATTCAGGGGCCTTGAATACTCTTGGTCAGTGCTTTGCCACTGAGCTTCAGCATTACCCCATCAGTCTTGCACTGCTTCAAACTGCTCATATAATCACATACTCAAATGCAATTTTTGCAAAGTGGCCATGGGAAGGAGCATTGAAATGTCCTTTTGTCCTACCATCTGACCTTTACTCTTGTAAAGTCCTGAACTCATATTGATTGCTGAAGGGAAAAAAATTAAAAACACTGTGAACATGGATGTCCTTGTCATCAGGAACATTGGCGGAATGCTAAAGGCCCTGCCTCCTGTAATGCCTTTCCATCCTAGGACCTTGGCAGTGTCACATGTGACATACCTTCCACATTATCCTTTGGAAAGAAACGGTACTAATTATCTAAATTTCCAGAAAGAGAATCAAAGGATTGTTTTTGTTTGTTTGTTTTGGGGCAATGCATTTCAGGGTCAATGGGATCCTTGGTACACATTTGAAAAGTTCAGGCTAAAAGTATGCCATGGAGTAGAAAAGGAAGAGGATACATTTGGTGTGTGTGCAAATTGATCGACATTGCCGAGTCTTCATCAAACATATGGGAAAAACTGTCAAAGAGAACATTTGGGCATCTGTATATAGTGGGAGGGCTGTCAGTATGCAATAATGTGCTCAGTAGGCAAAATCAAGGAATGGGGTTTTCAGAGTGTTACCCAGACCTATAATTCTTGGAACCTACAGCTGGACTAGGAGGAGAGCACAAACTGATGTTCGTGGGAAGGGGGTATAAACACTGGGCCCAAATGGGGAGCCAGTGCTTCAGGGTAGAGAGCTTCCAAGGGGTGCACAGGGCGGTCTCTAAATTTATAACATGAAAATCACTTTGTCATTTCAGATGCTCTGGCTGAAAGAAGGGCCAGCCCAGAGGCTCTGGAGAGGAGCCGCAGACACCTGGCAGGCTTCCCGACCCACTTGGTGCTCCCGCAGCGGGTCCCTCCTGCACCCCTCGCGCATGCGCACGTGGTTGGCTGGAAGCGCGCGCTCCCAGGCTGCCCCAACTGCTCCAGCTTCCGTTGGGGCTCCAGCGGGGCAAGGCGCAGGCGCGAGCGCTGACGGCGGGTTCCCAACGGCCGGCAGGGCTCCCATGGCGGCGTCCAGACTCAGTCCCGTAGGCCCGAGGTACTGGACCCGCGAACCTCTCCCGTCCCCAGTGTGTCCCTGCCTGGTCCTCTGGCCCCTGCGCCTCGCCGGGCAGCCCGGGCGCCGGCCTCGCCTCCCCTGGGACGTGGGCCGCCCGCACCAGGCCTGGAAGTGAGGGGCGCGTCGGCCAGTGAGGCGCCTTGTCGAAGCGTCGTCTGTCCGTGTCCCTTGCAGCCTGTGCAGCGCCAGGCTCCAGGGCACCTGTGTGGTGCTTGAGAAGTGCGGTCCTGGTCAGCAGGTCCGTGGCTCCTGTTGGTGTCAGACGAAGTGGTGACGGTCATCTCCTGTTCCCTGTGAAAGCTGTGAATGTTGGGGACACCGTCAGCCGGCATCCGGGTTGTTAGGCTGAAGGACATTCATTTCCTGTGACGTTAGCGACTTTGCAGAAGGGAACACACTGAGCCCAGTGCGCTGAGTCCGCTGTGGTCACACCGTGATTGACGGCCGTCATAGGTGGGCTGTTGGTGGGCGCCTCTGGACAGAGCACCTAAATGATGACGGGAGAATCCTGTCACCCCAAGTCGTGTGCAATAAAGAGACTTGTGTTGTATTATTAACGTGTGGTGCTTGTGTATTGTGCAGTGACACTGATGATGTGCCCTCACGTGTGGTTGGTGGGCTGTTTGGGGGGCCCTTGTGGGTATTTCTGGGTGCCAGGAAGTTTTCCTTCCGTCTTGATGGGCATGAGGATCAAGGGGTGGTTGTTTGTGCAAGAAAATGAGTCGCTGCGCTGGTCCTTCTATGGTTGGTAGGAGTTCAGCGGGCATGAGGGTTTTCTCTGTTCCTTTGGTCAGGTGGTGGTGTCCCTAATGTGTTCCTATGTATTCAGAGTGTTGGGGTGGTTGTGTTTTCGACTGACCAATGACAATCTGCTGTGTATTCAGAAGTGGGGGTATTTGAGATTAAGGGAAAGTCATGACTTTTTGTGAGACTGTAGGGTTGGGTGTGTTTGGAGGCTGTGAAAAGTAATGAGCATAAACACTGGGAGTGGAGGTTAAGTGTTTGGAAATTGGGTTTTGTGATATTTCACCTGTCTTTTTTCTTTTGTTTGTTTGGCTCATGAATGCTGGGAAGTGTGCATGCACCATGGGAAGTTTGGAAATAAATATGTGTGTGCGTACATATGGGCAGTGTTAAGGACTGTGTTTGGGTATATTTCTCTGGGTTTGCAAAATGATTGATATAATTGGTAAATGTATGAGTATTTTTATATTCAGGACATGCTGTTTGTTTATGTGGGTTTATTTTTATTTTCCATATTCATATTCATGTATATATACTTGAGTGTCTCTGGCTGGATTGTGTGCACATTTGTGGAGTAGTAGGATTAATATTTATGATTGTGATATGGAGTTATTAGGATTCTGCATTTTGGACGATGAACAGTTATTTCTTTGTATTGGCAATTTGTGATCTTGTGTACGATGGTAGTATAGATATCGGGTCTCTTTGGGAATATTTGGGTATTTGTGTATGTTGGGTGATTGTATAGAGGTGTCATGCCCGTGGAGAGGTACATGTATATGCACATTATATTAACTAGCACACCTCAGAGGTGCTCATATGTGTGTGTTTATTGCATGTAACAGCCATAGTTATGAGAAGGAAGAGTATTTAGGTGTATGTGTATGTAAGGACATGGCAGTTTTGATGTGTAATTTCTCAGGGTATGTGTGCATTGAGTACAAACTTATTTGTATAAAACTGAGAAGTGTGTATTTAAAGTCTGTGCATATACAGGATGCTCAGGAGTTGTTTGTATGGTGAATGTAGGTTTGAAGGTTTAGGTGAGGTTTCCTGAATGAGTGGTCCTGGTATTTGTGTTTAGTCTCATGTGTTAGAAAAATATATGTTGTTGGTGGCTGCATGTCTTTGAATTCATGGATCTCTTGGGGTGTGCATTTTGGCAGTTGTGGGAGGTTCATTGTGTGCTTGGAAATAGATTGTATACATTGTGTGTTTAAGTGTTGTGGAGAAACGTATTTTACAAGTGTGGGATTTCATGTGTGTCTATTTGGGTATGCATGAGACAAGTGTCTGTGTACTTGTTGGTTTTCTAGAGTCTGTGCCATGTAGGGTATTCATTGTGGGTAGAGCAGCAGTGTGTTGGTTGTACAGGCATGTCTCCAGCTCATGTTGTATGTGCATGTGGTATATTTGAACATTTAAGGTGAATAGGGTGTTTTTCTGTAAAAGTTCATGTAATAACAGGAGTTATATCTGTTTAGGGTGCAGTTAGCAGTTGTACGTATATTCGGAAGCAATGAGGAATATTTATTGCTGGAGATATAATTTTTTTGTGTATTTGGTTTTGTGTATTGTAGTTTGTATTCCAGAGAAGACAAATTGCTTGTAGGAATTCCTTTGTATGCTGGAGATGGCTGGAACTAGTTGTGGTAATTGATGGGGCTCATCCCTTTTTGGGTTTGTATTTAGTGGTATCTGGTTGTTAGGTTGAAAATAGTCTTGGTTGGATAGACACACCTCATAAACTAAAAGTCAAGACTTTCTTACCTCCCCCTGGATGACACTGTATTAGGCATTTATTAGCACACCTCTAGAGTGTGTGTGTGTGTGTGTGTGTGTGTGTGTTTTCAGAATGTATGACTAGTCATCTGTGTGAAGTATACATAACTCAGGCAACAATGAGTTCAGGTGTTGGTAATTCTATGTGTATTGTGAGTGGGGCATCAGGAATCCTTGTGTGTACGCATTGACCGTGGTCATTGTTATCCACTACATTGCTTCTAACTGGGTTAGTTTATTCTTCAGGGCCCCAAACCCTCATGAATGTCGATTCCTTACTCTTCCTCATGTGAATATCCATTCAGGCACCTGGATGAAGTTGGCTTCTCTGAGGTTAAGCAGTGGATGAAGACACCAGCCTCCACAATGTGAGGCTGCCAAACACCTGCAGAACTTCTGCCCCAGAACCACTTGTGCCCTAGGTAGTGTTTGCTGCTGGATGTCAGGCAACCCTTCCTTGTGGAATCCTGAGGCTTCAGGGCTGGTCAGGACCTCCAAGGGCATCCTTGTAGGGGATTAGAGTGTTGTCCTTTTTTTTTTTTCTTACTAACCTACATGGCATTTTCCCTGGGAAACCAGGTCTTTTTAATGTCCTTTGCAATGGATTACAGCTACTTGTTTGGGGAGGTGGAATGCCCCTGATAATTTTTGAATAATTTTAGATTTTCTGTCATTCGTTTCATAGGAGATTTTTTTTTTTTTTGCAGTAAGTACTCCCCTGTCTTTCCAGTTGATTGCATATGCAACCTCATCAACAAGGCCTTATCAAGGCCCTGTCTCAACATAAAAAAGGGGTGGGGATGTTGCTTGGTGGTTAAATACCCCTGGGTTCTCTTTTGCAGGTACCCTCCTCCCCAATAGAATATATCCTAAGTAATCTTTTGTTTTGTGGCCTGATTCAGAGTTTAGATTCCCAGTAAACCCATTGTGCTAGGAAGTTTAGTTGCTGAGTAGTATTTTGGTCAGAGTTGTCTTTATTCAGGTTACAGGTGAGGATGTCATCTACATACTGAAGGGCAGTTCTAGCCAGAAGACCTAAGTCTTTTGAATCCATAAGTACCCAGACAAAGAAATGGGGGCTGTATGTCCAGATAAGTTGTTTAGAGTGTGTGTCTCAGGATCTCCCCATCCAATGGCAAAAGAGTTTTAGGAGTGGGATGCAGAAGTATAGAGTAGAAAGCCCCCTTGAGATCAAGGACAGTGCGCCACTGAGTGGTAGATGGAACCTGGGACAGCAAGGTGTGTTTGTTACCATGGGGCAGAGGAGGATCACTGCCTTATTGACCAAGTTTAAATCCTGGAATAATCTACAGTCCCCATTTGGTTTAGGCACAGAAGAATTGAGGTATTGCAGGATAACTGACAAGGAATTATAATCCCATACTGTGAAGATATACATGCAGTGGCTCTTAATCCATGCAGTGCTTCTGAGATCCTTAGGGAATATTGTCTTTTGTATGAATAACTTGTTCCCTTTAATGAAATCTGCATCAGTTGTGCATTCAGGGCTTGTCATGGGATTCCATTGTGTCAGACTTTGGGTCAACCACCAAAGAAACAGTATGAATTGTGATTTTACTCCTATACCAGTCGTACTTCTGAAATTGAGAGTAGCAGCATAGGATGTCAGGATGTAGCAAGTGTCCACAGGGAACTGCACTGACTTATCTGACACCTCAAGAACTACCCAGGGTTTCCTCATGTGAAATGGGAATGGTTGTTAGGGGCTTCTTTCTTCCATTAGACTCTCCAGTCTTTTTTTTTTTTTTTAATTATTCTTAAGTTTTAGGTGGACACAATATCTTTATTTTACATTTATGTGGTGCTGAGGATCAAACCTAGTGCCTTATGCATGCTAGGTGAGCGCTCTGCCACTGAGCAACAACCCCAGCCCTCTCTCCAGTCTTCTTGAAGGGGCCAGATGTTGTGTTTTCAACCCTTTTCTCACTGGGAATGGGCCAAGTTCACCTTTCAGTGTCAGTTGACAGGGTCATCCTTATATGTAGACAAAGTCTTGGGCAGGAGTGGGTGTTGGGCTTGTGCACTTGGGTGCCAAATGTCCATTTCCCTTGCATTTGGAGCTACTCTGCTTTCAGTTGCTTCCTGCTGTATTATCATGGGGACTGAATCCTGACCTGTCAAGTGGTAGGTTTTACTGGAGGTGAGCTGACTGTGAGTGGGACATTTGAGCCTTTCGTGCATCCCTCCTTTTTCCTTAGCAGATGTTATTGAAGACAGAGAAAGTCATATCAACTGATTTTGAGGAGCCCAAAGTTCCAATTGAAGCTTTTGGAGTTTTCTCTGGATATCAGGGACAGACTGAGCAATAAAGGGCTTGTCCCTAAAGGGAGATCAGGTCTAGATTGTTGTACCTGCTAAAGATCTCATTAAGACATGTATGGAATCCACAGGATTTTCTTCTCTTCCCAAGGTAATCTTGAATTTTTCAGATG